TGTCTACGTAGCGCAGCAATAGGAGGTCTTTAGACCGAGCCAACCATATCTAAAAATTAAGTCGGACGACATTTCACAGTGACCCGATTTTAATATATGATCGACATGTCACACGACTACTATATTAATATACACTCACCTACCATAAATATCCGATCACCTGATGATCATTTTAATAATTGGGAAACTTATATGGGAGTTGGACTAGGAAAATCGACACCTCAGCATTTGTTACACATGATTTTTATTATCCCTTAAACGGTTTTTCGGCTATTGATAGCCGAAAATTTTTTTCTGTTATAAAAAACTTTTTCTGAAGGTATTACTTCCTAATACGAAAATGATCTTTGAGATTCGGCTGTTTGATATGTAAATAAAAATTCGGTTGTTGTCCTTGTGGTTTTCGTAAAATCTTCTTTAAAAGTTGGTCGATTGACTATTTTTACTTTACAGATCGTTAAATTGGCCAATAAGAATGCAAGATCGTGATCAAAAATCATTTCGCGTTACCATTAAAGAATACTCTGACCGTTTAAGAGATAGTAAAATCATATCAAATCTATTTTTAGAAAAAAATTTTCCTAGTCCAACTCCCATATATATATACCTCACACAGTTCAAAATTTATTAACCAAACCGGGTCTGGTGCATCAAGTAAACATGTTTTTAAAGTCAATTTGAATATAAAGTCTCGTCGAGTTTGCATTATTAATGAATTTAGGGTGAAAATTTTAAATTAGTGATTTTTGTGAAACTTTGAGCTTAGTAAAAAGGTTCAAAACTCTGTTGAATCATGGATTATGTAAACTTTTGAGCAATTAGTAAAAAATGGCGTCCAAATACTTTTTTCCGGGTAGTTGTATATTTAACAAACGAGAGCGAGTATATATATTGCGTGTGTATATTGCGTGCAAATATTTTAAAAGAAGGTTTGTTATTTAAATTAACAATCAAAAATTGTATTTTTATTTAAATTAACAATCAAAAATTGTATTTTTATTTAAATTAACAAT